CTGCATTAACAGTTGATGTAAAAAAAAAAAATGTTCCAAATAAAATGATGTGTTTTTTTTTTTTGTTTTTTTATTTGTCATCAACTTTTTATGTTGATTCCAGTTCAAATGATGCAGAACTGTTGCCATAGTTACTTCAGTCTTACAAAAAATCAACTAGGGCAGGGTTTGTCGATAGAATTTCAAACATGTCATGCGGGAACTCCATACAATCAAAGGCTTAACTTTGTGTTCTTTCTTTTTATTCTTTTTATTGATGAAATTCAAGCAAATATTGTCTATTGTGGAATCAGATTTCTTCCCTAGAGTAATCTGATAACTATTATCTAATTTGACTGAATGTTTTACTGGTTCGGGTCAGTGTACAAATGTTATTGTATTTTGAAAAGGCCAAGTTTATTGGTTAGAAACCATGTTTGCTTTTTGGATTGATTTCTATCATACATCACTTTTTTTTTTTTAATATAATTAGTTAAAGGTAATTTTATAAATATTGAAAATTCATTCTGGGTAGGACAATAAACTATATTTGGTAGCAAGGCCATTGATCAGAAGATTGGAGGTTTTGAGGAGCAAAATTGCTGTTGTTCCCATGCTCCACCCTGACCTGGGGTGGTAGCTCCTGTTTTCACAAATAAAATATTTTACAAATAGTCAACTCCCAAGTAAAGAATAAAAAATTGGAAGTATAAAATACTAAATGTTTATATAAAATTATATACTAAATCTATTTTTTTTATATATATATATATATATATATATAATATATATTATATAAACCCAGGTTGTTGTGTGTGTGTGTGTTGTACGTTTATATATTGGATTGGATTTCCTACATTTTTTTAACCGATTTCAAAAAACTTCACAGGACTACGTAAAATTACCTTGCATTTTTCTGACAGCGCCAAAAATTGGAAAAACACAATTGTTTTTTTTTAAAATCAATTTGAAAACACGATTAAGAGGCATCGTTTTGTCAAATGAGAATGAAAGGGGGACAACTCATATCGAGTTATACTTATTATAAAACCCAGGTTGTTTGTGATTGTGTGTCTGTGTTCGTTTATATATGGGATCAGATTTCCTACATTTTTCAACTGATTTCAACAAAACTTCACTTTTTTTTTGGCAGGTAGTGTTTCTTATTGTCTTTCACACTTTTTTCTTTATTTTTACATTCAGAATGCTTTAAAAATTCCATTTACAAGACAATTGTTTATAATAAAGTTCTATTCAATCGGTAGACTCATAACGATTGAAAACAGTGTTTTTGTTTGAGTTTGGGTTTGACCAATTCATAAAAAAAAAAAAAAAAACCTAATTAAGACATACGTGTCCATCAACCTTAAACAATAATCTTTGTCAATTTTATTTTTCAGTCTTTATGATGGTGGATACTTGATCAATCTCTTACTGTTATATCCCCGGGCAACACCGGGCTCTACTGCTAGTATATATATATATATATATATATATATATATATTATATTATGAAAAACTAGGTAATCCATATGGGTAAACCTAAGGAGGATATAATCCAGAGAGCTCAATGTAAATCCAGAGCAAATAATTTAAATAAAAACAGACCACTTTAAGGTTCCATGTAATAAATTATTTCACCACAGCCCTTTTAAAAGGACTGTGGATCATCAGACTTTACTTCCAAACAAAAAAAAAAAAATGACCAACAATATATTTTTATAATGAAATAATGATTGACCAATCATCATTATCATCATTCCCATGACTTTTATAATCATAAGAGGGATTTGAATGCAGAATGAATCTCTTCCGCAACAGTCTATCAATGGCAGGCATCAACCATTCTAGTCTATTATTACTTGTCCATTGTTTTTGCATTGGCGTCCTCTCCTATATCCAACTTTTAACAGTGCCTTGCCTGACGGTCTTGAAAAGGCTGTTGTGCCTTGTAATGTGTCCAAACCATGCCAGTTTTCTCCATTTGACAGTGGCGAGAAGAGGTTCCTGGTGGCCCACAAAATTTTCAACCCTTTTCCGCACAAACTCATTGGTTTTTTTTGTTCCCAGTAGAAGATACTAAGTAGTTTTTCTCTTGCATTTGTCCTCAAACGTTTGGATCCTTCTCTCCGTTTCTGCCAAACAGCATATTTTTATAAAGAAAAATAACTAAAAAACAATACATTTTTATAAACAACTGATCAATATTACATTTTTATAAATAACCAACCAAGTATACATTGCTATAAATAACTGCCCAAGAATACATTTTTGTAAACAACCGAGCAACAATACATTTTTGCAAATAACCGAGCAGCAATACAGTTTTATAAATAACCAACCTGGAATACATTTTCCTGAATAACCAACCAGCAATACATTTTCCTGAATAACCGACCAGCAATACATTTTCCTGAATAACCGACCAGCAATACATTTTCCTGAATAACCGACCAGCAATACATTTTCCTGAATAACCGACCGGCAATACATTTTCCAATAAATATACAATACATTTTATTTAAAAAATATACATTTTTTATTTAAAAATCCCAAGAAAAACGATACATTTTTGTAAATAACCAACCAAAAAAAAATTGTTAAAAAAATCAAGTAAAACAATACATTTTTATACTAAAAAAATTGACCTACATTGTAGAAATTTTCAAAAAAGAAAAATTGAATAAAAACCCAATTTACTATGATTAATCTCATTCTTTGTGAGAGGAAACAAGTTCCCGCCAACAATAAAAAAACATGCTTTGTGATCCCCTTGAAGAGATAGGCAAAGACCCGAGATGGACAAAAGCAGTAAGGAGATAGAGATCGCAACATACAACCCCTGTTCACAAGGGGGCTTAAAAGAAGATTCCCTTATTCATTCACCCGTCTTCCTCATCAAGCTACATGACACTTACACTTTCCTCCTCATTTTCTCTCTTGCTTCTCTTTTTCACACATACATACAAAGAAATCTTTTTTTTTTTTTTTTTCATCTTAACAAACAAGGAAATTAAACATTCATACATCCTGAGAAAAATTTAGCTGTAAAAAAAGAAAAATGAAAATATTTTATATTTAAAAACCTTTTTTTGCCTTTTTCTTTGTTGTGTGTTGATTGGGACCTGGAACATGTTTGTGAAAATATGCGAACCAACTACAACCCAATATCCTCATCTTCATTCCTGTATTCACAACATTTCGCCTGTTCTATGCTTTGGCCTTCTTCAGGTGATTGGAATTTCGAACTGAACCCTTTATTTTATCCACTGGGGTAAATTGTTCTAGTTCCATATGCCATGCCTCTTCTGGATTGCTGATTCCATAAGTTTTTATATTTTCCAGGAATCAGCTAGACCACAAAAATCTGAGTCAACCAAGCATAGATATGAATACAAACTGGGAACGACTAATAAGGAGTGCTGGAGAAAAGCAATGAATAACAATAAAAAATTGCAATATTAGCTCTGGTAAAAAATGCAATAAGGATAACAGAAAAATTGCAATATGAGCACTGGTTAAAAAAAAAAAAAAAGTTACTGAGACATTAGGTTTATAAGTCCCCAAAATTCATACAGATGTTCTCAAGGACACATGGCTTTAGTCAATAGCAAATTTCAGAGATATAGATAGATATTGATAAATCTTAATTCATAATTAGTAGCCATGTAAATTGTTCAGCCCGTGTGGAAAAATGTTAAAAAAAAAAAATATGGAAAGGCATAAGAATCAATTGGAAATAAATAAATCAAGAAATTTCATTGAATAGAGAAAACACAATTGAAGAAATGAACACTTTTTTCAAGAAGAATTTGTTTATATGGACTGAAATTGTTGATATCTGTCTATATCTCTGAGATGAGGTATTATATTTACTTGTATTATTTACATTATTTTAATTGTTATCTTCATTTTCATATTCATGTTTCGGCTGTAATACGCCCTGGACTTCTTCAGGTGATTGGAATTTCAAACCGAACCCTTTCTCAAGGACACATTGCCCAGTCGATAAAGATTTTGGTTAGATCACATGACTAGACCCAAAGAGTTGTGAGTTCAATACTAGGCTACAGCAGTGATGAACCAGAACTTGGAGAGCTGAGTCTAAGGGAAATAACTATTAAATCTGGAAGAGGCATGGCATGTGGAACTAAAACAATCTACCCTTCAGTTCAAAATTCCAATCACTGTAAGAACAACATAAGTATAATGGCTGAAATGTTGTGAATATGGCAATGAGGATAACAGTCCAAATAATGTAAATAATGCAAGTAATCATAATACCTCATCTCAGAAATATAGACAGATATATAGAGAAACATAGATGTAAAGGCCGGAGCGTACAACGGCCGAAATGTTGTGAATATGGCAATAAAGATGAGAATAATTATCATAATACCACATCTCAGAGATACAACCATCTGAAGATGGCCGAAGCATACAATGGCCGAAACATTGTGAATACGGCAATGAAGATGAGGATAACTCTCTCAACAATGTAAATAATGCAAGTAATCATAATACCTCTTCTCAGTGATCCAATCACCTGAAGAAGGCCGGAGCGTACAACGGCCGAAAAAGTTGTGAATATGGCAATGAAAAATTCAGATGTCTAATGCATGAAATTGTTGAAATGACTTTTTTGCACGAACAGGTATTTTACTTTGAATTTTCCTGCCTGAAGCAGAATCTGGAATAAAGTAATGAGAGTTCAATAAAAATCTTTATTATTGCATGACATTTGCATTTAGAAACAAACCGTCAGGAACCGAGATACTGTTGTTCATTATCTCAGAAGCTCTGGCATAACATTTATAAATTGTAGCATTTGCTGTCTTGAATGAGTTTGGGTTTCTTTATCAGTGGCCGTGACCTTTTTATATAATCTGCTACGATGACTATTAGTTGAGTTTCTCGAATGAATGCTTATTGTGTTGTAACTTCAGAGAACCAAAGTTAAGTGCGGACATTGTTACTAGCAAAAGATCAACAACATTTTTCCTTTGGGAATCCAAGGCCAAATGTGCTTGAATTCTTTTTTTCTTCTTCCTTACTTATTTTTTTTTCCTTCTTTCTTTGTTTTCCTCCTCTTTGTTGTTTTTTTTTTCTTTTTCTCTGTTCTTTTCCTCCTCCTCCTCTTTGTTCTTTTTCTCCTCCTCCTCCTCCTCTTTGTTCTTTTTCTCCTCCTCCTCCTCCTCTTTGTTCTTTTTCTCCTCCTCCTCCTCTTTGTTCTTTTTCTCCTCCTCCTCCTCTTTGTTCTTTTCCTCCTCCTCCTCCTCCTTCCCTTGTTCTTTTTCTCCTCCTCCCCTCCTCCTCTTTTCTTCTTTTTCTCCCCACTTTTTGTTCTTTTCTCCTCCTTTTTTTGTTTTTTCCTCCTCCTCCTTTTTGTTATTTTCTTCCTTTTTCCTTTGTTCCTTTCCTTTTCCCCCACTATTTTTTCTTTTCCTCCTTCCCCCTTTTTGTTCTTTTTCCTCCTCCCCTCTTTTTGTGTTCTTTTCCTCCTTCCCCCACTTTTTGTTCTTTTCTCTCCCTTCCTCCCCCTTTTGTTCTTTTCCTCCTTCCTTTGTTTTTCCTCTTCCTTCCCCCCCTCTTTTTTTTCTTTTCTCTTCCTTCCCCCACTTTTGTTCTTTTCCTCTTCCTTCCCCCACTTTTTGTTCTTTTCCTCTTCCTTCCCCCACTTTTTGTTCTTTTCCTCTTCCTTCCCCCACTTTTTGTTCTTTTCCTCTTCCTTCCCCCACTTTTTGTTCTTTTCCTCCTCCTCTTTGTTCTTCACCATCCTTCTCCCCTCCTTGTTCTTGCTTTCTTTTTGTTTTTGTTTTGTCATTTTTATGATTGGCAAATGGTATATTAGGTAGTAGAATGCATAAAAATGTCCAAATTCCCAAGTACTCCTCTGAATACTGGCACCACTTATAACATCACATGTTTTACCATTACAAGAGCAAAAGTATATCCACTCACCAGACACAAAGGGACTATCCATTTTCAGAAATCCAAGGTGACTAATGCAGAGTTAACTGTCGTGGTGCCAAAAAGTTGTAGAAGATGACAAATCCAAAATAAATATATATATATATATATATATATATATATATATATATATTTATTTATTATTCTTTTAAATATATTCTTACTTAATATAAATTATGTAAATATGATTTATTGTTAATCATATTAATATATCTCATTTTAAGTTTTTTTTTTTTTTATATATTTTGTGATGTCAAACACTCATTGCCACTTTTGTAATGTCAACAAATACTCATTATCACTTTTGTCGTGCTTGTAGTAGAAACTTTGTAATCGCAGATACAACTGATAGTAATGCTGTTGAACAATACTAGTGTCAGATGCCTTTGAACAGTGCTTTCACTAATAGTACTAGCTCGATAATACTTGCTCAAATAGTAATCCATATAGTATAGTGACTAGAGAATAGCAATCTATATAGTAATAGAGGATAGACTAGAAATGACGATCGTAACAATAATTCCCATATATACTTCCTCTATGGTCATGTGATCTACTTAATTCAATAGTGGGATTGCCTGTGTTAGCTCACTGGTGATCTAAGTTCAAACTCAAGTGTCGGCAGTGACACTTTATTCCTATATAGCAATGTAATTGAAAATTTTATCTGTATATAAAACGCCCTTTTTGGCCCTTTTTTAGTTTCAATCCAATGCCTCATTCTTCATATAACCCCAATTTAGGATCATAAGGTTAATATCCAGGTTGATTTTGTGGAGCCCCTTTCCTTTCAGACTATCTTCTGCCCTCTCTCCTTACCACCAATTCGGGGGCATTTCGTGTGGCTGAGGTGTCAAAAGGGGTAGGGTCTGTATCAATTTCTTGACTGCTGTCAAAGTTAAATTTGAAATCTCTAATTGTGACATGCATACAGTCCATTCACCAGAGCTGAATAAAACTAATGTAATTTGCATTGGTTGAAATAGATCTATCCCCATAGGAGGTAATTTAGGAATTTGTTATGTAATTTATATCTTCTGTTCTAATAAATACATTGAAAATCATTTTAATATTTGATATTCTTCCACTTATTGAAACAGATGTATTACCTGTACAGTTTTATATATATTATATATATATTTATTTCCATATATATTTATATATATATATATATAAACAGATATATATATATATATATATATATTTATATATATATATATATATATATATATATATATATTTATATATATATTATATATATATTTATATATATATATATATATATATATATATATATATATATATATATAACATTTAATTGATTGCATGTATTTCTGTAAGAAAATGAAAAGATTTTCTATTTTTTATCTTTTTCTTATTTAGAGAAAATTTTTTTTTTTTTTTTTTTTTTCAATAGAATTTATTGAGATGTGAATTGAACTCTTCTAATAAGAGTTAAGAAAATAAAGCAAATTTTATTCATTTAGATTCTTTTTTTTTTTTCCTTGAGATTATTCCATTGTATTTCCATTATCTAAGACGGATATTAGATGAATAAACTGAATTGGTAAGCTTTTATCGTGGAAAATACTTAAATGTTTTGTGCCTAATTTTATTTTTAGAAAATAAATCTTTTTTCCAATACGCTAGGAAGCTGAAGTGAATTATAAGTCCAAATTGGAACTTTCGAAGAACAATGATTTTTTTTTTTCCGTTTCTTTTCTGAGACAAAATTAGTTTCAGCACAAGAACTATACAAGGTCAATTTTAGTCTTTTTACTTTTGGTTTATAGAAATTGCTTCGTTTAAATAATTGTTGCGTATAGAATTTTTGTCATGAGTTATAACATGTAAAAATAGTTTCACTATGTTTATACAATGGAATGCGTTTAAGTCTAAATTCGCTCATGAGACTCGAATACAAGTTACACATGTACTTAGCAACTGAAATTTATATAACGCTGGATGCTCCGAAAGTAATGCCTCTCGTTTCCATGGAAACTGCAATGGTGTATGCAAAAATACTATTAATAAGTAATTTTTTCTTCCAGTTACAAAAATAGGCAAGTCCTTATATTTTTGGTTAATATCACAATATTTCAGCTGTTGTGATCTCTGGCCATCTTCAAGACTGCTATGGAAGTGATCATGGCTCTCCACAATTTCCTGTCTTTTTGTTATCTCTCCTAAACTTTGTTATGCCATCCATTGACTCAAGCTCGTTCTGTCTCATTATTTCTTCAGGACATAGGCGATCATGGCTCTCCACAACTTCCTGGCTTTTGTTATCTCTCTTAAACCTTGTTCCATCATCCATTTACTCAAGCTTGCTAGGCTGGTTATGCATTGCTTTCCTCTGTCTCTCTTGCCTTGAATTTATCCTTTGAGGTTCAAATTTTCCAAGCCCTCTTTCTTCATTATGTGCCCTAGAAATTTCAACTGTCTTTTTCTGATGTTAAGTATAAGTGTTTTTTTTTTGTTTCCATTTTCTCTAAAACTTTGATGTTTCTCACATGTTCAGTCCATGATATTCTCAGTATCCTTCTGTAGAACCACATTTCTGTTGCTTCAAATCTTTTCTTCATCTGTGAGAAGATTGTCCAGCATTCACTGCCATATAGGAGGACTGATATTGCATAACAGTTCAGTACTCTTTTCTTTGTTTCTCTTGCTTTAAGTCTCTTCTTCATCTGTGAAGAGATTGTCCAGCATTCACTGCCATATAGGAGGACTGATATTATGTAAGAGTTCAGTACTCTGTTTCTAATGAAATTATTCTGTTTCTTGATACTTGCTTAGATTTTGGAAGGCACCTTTTGCTATGCCAATGCACCTTTTGAAGTTCAGTGCTGAACTTTTCATCTTTTGTTAATTGATTTCGGCATCTTCAATTTGTAATTTGCATGTAGGGCTGTTCGTTCTGCGAACAACCTTGCATTCTCTCTTCTTGCATTTGATGTTTGGTACTTTTCACTTTCCTTCACTATTTTCTCTAGGAGGTTTTGTAGTTTTCTTTCCGTGTCTGCTATCAACACTGTACTATCTGAATATCTTATATTGTTAAGATTGTGGCCGTTAATAATGAATCCTGGTAGGACTTCTAATTCTCTCAAAATTGCTTCATTCTATAGCAATGATTCCCAATGATGGCCACATGGTCCACTGGTGAGGCATGGTAATATTTTGGTGAGACATGCAGAGGCTGTACATCTTTCAACTTACTATACCAGCAGAATAAGGGGGCAATTTGAGAATGAGTTATTAACATTTATTTGTTACCATTTCCATCTTCATATTTAATTGAATGTGGCTTTAATGCTGTAAATGATTTCTTACCTAAATAATGTTTTCAGTTCCTATTAATGTTAACTCAAAGTAAAAAGTTTGAAGTGCCTGCATGTAAAATATTTCAAATAAAGATTTATATTTAATATTTATTTTGATATTTTCAAAAGCCCGGAGTGGAATATATATATATATATATATATATATATATATATAGTTTTAAGGTATGATATACCCATGATTAGTAGTTGTGTAACTTTAATTGATGGTTAGTGTTCTAGGGTTAAAGAAGACTTGAAGCAAAAGAAATGTGGTTTTACAGAAAGCTGCTGAGCATGCCATGGACCGAACATGTGAGCAACAAAGTTTTAGAGCAATGGTTCCCAATGTGGAGAACATGCCTCACCATCAAAAAACATGCTTAGGATGTGCACACTTCGTCTTACTATAGAAACAGAATAAGGGGCAATTTGAGAATGAGTTATTAATATTTATTAAAATTAATTTGTTGTCACCATTTCCATCTTCCTATTTAGCTGAATGTGGCTTTAGTGCTGTAAATGATTTGTTATTGAATAAAAGAAATCAACTGGATATCACTAAATGAGGAGACTTGAGGCTTAAGCTGACTAAATTGGTACCTAATATAAAATCTATCTGTAGCAGGCATGACGCATAAGGATCTCACTAACAGTCATTTTGTGATGAGCTCAAATTTTTCTCTTTCATGGACGCTGTGGTTTTTGAAGGTTTGTTTAGAGACCCAAGTTAACAACCTTTTAAGCTTCCTGCACGTGAATTGCTGTAGAATTTTGAATACGTAAGAATTAAATATTACAGTGAGGCACCAGAACTTTGGAAATATCAAAGTGGGGTATGGCCAGAAATCAGTTGGGAGCCACTGATCTATAGATTGAATACATCTGGTGAGAAAAGGCATACGGAAAATAAAAGAAAATCTTTTGTTTATCTTTTAAGAACAATAATATTAAAGAAAAGATAGAATTATTTTGTAAACATTGATCAGTTTTGACTGAGCAATATACAATTTTAGAATGCTTTGAAAATGTTTTCTCGTACAATGGACCAAATGTTGTAATTGTCAGGCAAAAGATTTTTGTTAAAACAGGACATCCATTGTGTGGCAGATATTTAGAACATTCCGTTGTATAGAAAGACTGACTGACCTTCTCTCCATTTGTTATTGAAATATGGACTTGTCCGTTCACTATGAGTAGAACGTCTGCTCATGATCAGTGGGCAAAAAGTGGGTCACTAAGGTGTAGCACTTTCAGTCGTACTGAACTACTGTATTGTCAATCCGTGTTTTGGTGTGATTAAAGCCTTCTTCATGTAATCTTTTGTTGCCAGTGTTTTCCTTAATCTTACTAACCAGCAACTATGAGCGTTAGACGAATGTTATGATGTTTTCTTTCTTAATATTCTCTCTTCTCTTTGACTGTTTCAATTTGTTTGCTACCAAAATATGTTTTCCTTCTCCTTCTCTTTCTGTCTCTCTCTCTCCTTCTCTTTGTCTCTCTCTCTCCTTCTCTTTCTGTCTCTCTCTCTCCTTCTCTTTCTGTCTCTCTCTCTCCTTCTCTTTCTGCCTCTCTTTCTCTTCTTCCCTTCTCTCTCTCCCCTTCTCTCTCTCTCCTTGGTTCTCTCTCTCTCTCTCTCCAGTTCTCTCTCTCTCTCCCCTTCTCTTTTCTTCTCTCCCCAGTCCTTTCTCTCTCTTCTCCCCTTCAAATCTCTCTCTTATTCTCTGTCTCTCTCTCCCTCCTCTGTCTCTTTCCCCTCCTCTGTACTCTCTCCCCTTCTCTTTCTCTTTCTTCCCTTCTCTTTCTGTCTTTCCCTTCTCTTTTGAAACTGTTTTCTCTTTCTCTGTCTCCCCTTTCTGTATGGAAAGTCTCATATTCTAATTTTCTCTCTTTTCTCCCCTTCTCTTTCTCTCTGTCTCTCTTTCTCTCTGTTCCCCTTTCTCTTTTTCTCTCTTCTCTCTTTCTCCCCTTTCTTTTCTCTCTGTCTCTCTTTTCTTTCTTTCTCTCTGTCTCTTTTCTGTCTCCCTTTCTCTTTCTCTCTTCTCTCTCCTCCCCTTCTCTTCTTTTTCTTTAATTCTTTACTTTCTTCTTTTTTTTTCTTTCTTTTTTTTTCCTTTTCCTTCTCATTTTCTTTCTTTCTTTCTTTGACTTTTTCATAACTTGTTCTCCCTCTCTTTCTTTCTCCCCAGTGTTTTCCTTACAGTCTTACTAACCAGCAACACTGAACATTAATTGAACTTGGTAACACATTCCCTTTTTATATTTCTCTTTCATCGTTTGTCAGCGGACAGCAGGCCGTTCAATTGCATGGTTGATGTGGCGGTGGCTGGGTGGTTGTTCTCAATGATACGTAAACAAGGTGTGTTTTGTAAATGCATTTTGACAGTGTTTAATATTGAAGGGAAAACAATTTTAAAATTATTTAAAAATAAAAACTTACTCTCTATGGTTTGTGATGAAAACAATATGTCTGGATTTGGCCTGTACACTGTAGTTTTAGATGTGCCAATTACATAAAATAAAGATATGGGACTAAGGACTTCCTTAGGAACATTCCAAACCCTGTAATCCCCAGACTTCCTTTCAAACAAATTCCCAACCATGGGGTCTGCTGACTCCCTCAGGTTCTCAACCAGGAATCCACAGAACCACAAAACTGAATGATTTTGGTATTTTTAAGTCTTAGGAATTCATGTTTTAGATTATCATTCAAGAATTTTATAGGGTCAGTTCAAAATAATGGTTCAGATGTTTAGACTGAAATGGACTTGTATTTTTAGAAAAACAATATCATATATATATATATATATAAAAACATACCCTGAATGTACAAAATCATGAACAAAATATCCCTACTTGATGGCATAAAATTACTTTCAAAATAGATTTAGTTGAAACCACAAAATTGCGATCAAAATATTTAGGTTTCATCATTAAGAACCCATAGAGGTGTTGATATGTAACTAGACAAAACCAACCAATCAATAGGAGTAGATATGTTTGCCTCTCGTTTGGTTCCCACTCCTCCCCGGTCTTTTGAATGGGATGGGCGTAAAGATTTATCCTTTGTTTCCACTTTAGTATTGGGTTTCTGGTTCCTTCTAAGGTCTTCTCATTCTATTTTACTCCTAGTAGCCCCTTGTGTCTTAGTGACATTATTGCCTTGTTTGGGTTGAATTGATAAAAAAGAAATCATGTAAGATTATTTTTTCCCAGTCATGCAAATATCATTGTGGTATTTTTAAATGCAATTTCAATCGCTATCTACTGTCCTGATTACTCTAATCTCTCCCTTCTCATTAATGTTTCTGTTTCTAATTTTTACACATCCAGTAACCCTTGTGTCTTACTGGCTTTACTACTTTGCTTAGGATGATACTGATTAAAAAACAAAAAACTGTCTATCTAAAGAATATATGTTTGTTCGGAAAATATAAAATTACTAGCAGTAGAGCCCAGTGTTGCCCGGGGATGTAAGAGATAGATCAAGTATCGACCATCATAAAGACTGAAAAATAAAATTGACAAAGATTATTATTTAAGCTTGACGGACGCGCATGTCTTAATTAGGTTTTTTTTTTTTACGAATTGCTCAAACCCAAACTGAAACAAAAAAATTGTTTTCAATCGTTATGAGTCTATCGATTGAATAGAATTTTATTATAAACAATTGTCTTGTAAATGGAATTTTTAAAGCATTCTGAATGTAAAAATAAAGAAAAAAAGTGTGCAAGACAATAAGAAACACTACCTGCAAAAAAAAAAAGTGAAGTTTTGTTGAAATCGGTTGAAAAAATGTAGGAAATCTGATCCCATATATAAATGAACACACACACACAAACAACCTGGGTTTTTTATAATAAGTATAACTTGATATGAGTTGTCCCCTTTCATTCTGGCGACAGAATCATGTTTTATCGTGTTTTCAAATTGATTTTGTGCAAAAACAATTGTGTTTTTCCAATTTTTGGTGCTGTCATAACCACTGCAAGGTAATTTTACACAGTCCTGTGAAGTTTTGTTGAAATCGGTTGAAAAATGTAGGAAATCCGATCCAATATATAAACGTACAGACACACACACACACACACAATCTGCGTTTTAAAATAAGTAAGATGTACAAAATATCTGTAGTAGAAGTCATCAAAATGAAATTTAAATTTCAGGATCAAATAATCTATAGAGGTGTTGATATGCTACTAAACAAAGTCAACCAAGCAAATTTATAAAATTTGTTTGGACTTTTCTACTAATTCTACTTATCTATGGTTAATTACTCTACTGGCTAAATTTTTAATAATTTAAAAAAAAAAAAACACACTTTTAGCAATGAAACACTTTTCTCAAATAGTGGAAAGAAAATTTCTTCATTATTGATTTGGTTTCGTTTGTTTTACGGCATATCAACCTCAAATGCCAAGAAGATTTTTATTGCTGGAAATATTTTTTTCAAAAAATGTCTTGCTGCCAATATATTTTATCCTTCAAAAATGCATTGCTGATAATTTTTTCTTCAAAAATTTATTGCTGGTATTAAAACCTATTTTTACACTTTCATAGCATTTTGGTCCTAGTTTGTGGGGGGTAACTATTTGCCCATAGCTGGGACCCTAACAGGTGCTACCACCCCGGGTCAGGGTTGACTTGGGAACACCAGCAATTAAGAGGTAGTTCCACATTCCTCGAAACCTCCTGATCAGATGCCTTGCTGTTGGATGTAGTTTATCGCCTTACCCAGGATGCAGATGTAGTCATACCCAGGATGGTTCAGTATTGAACAAAGTTAGATGGCTAGAATAAGGATGAACTCAAGTGGCCTTTTCTCAAAAAAAAAAAAAAAAATGTCCTATTTTATCTACTGGAAAACAAAGTTATGGAGTTTGTTTATCTTATCAGTTGATAACCTGTGTCAGGATTATTGGAAGAGATTAACTTTGTATAATTAATCTGCAATGAAATACTCAATAATCTCAGATTACATTATTGACCGTGGATGTAATGGGATTATTGAACGACTATTGATCCAATAGTCTCGTCAGATTGAGACTTTCATATGGACGCCATGCATGGCACCAAACCCGATCAGAAATATCTAAACTGCCAGCTGTATAAAACTACTTAATAAGATCAATGGTGAAGCCTGACAGTCTTGGTAAAGATCATCTTTTTTTGAACATTGTAGACTGGTGCTACAGGATTACAAATAAATGTACAAAATAACAAAAACCACATCACTTGAGGACTTTCAACAGTGGTAACAACTAAAATGGATAGCACATGTAATGCAATGAATGCCAAATGTTTCCTTGTACAGAAACAGCTAAGGAGAGGACAGCCGGCACAAATGTACCAGGCCTCAAAATCCAAGGGGCTTCAAGAAAATACCTTTAGGGGTTAGTGGGGGGGGGGGTGCTTCTTTACAAAAAGTAGAGAGCAAAATTACGAATCGGTATTTTATTGAAAAAAAAAAATGAAGACTGAAACCAGTTCCAAAGCAGCTTAAGAGCGCATTTTTCAGACTTTCATTGAAGCAAAATGCATGATGAATTCCTCAGTCTAATTCTTGTGCCAAATCAAACTCGATCGCAAGGGTTGCCAAGTTGTAAAGGCAGTCTTGAAGCATTGTTGTGTGTTGATAGTTCTTTCTTTCTTTTTTTTTTTTTTTTTTTTTTTTTAAGTGCATAAATATTTGTCATGAAAAATAAAAATAAAAGCCTTGATAGAAAAATGATATTTAACATATCACAACCCTATCAAACAGGCAAGCTTACAGTCTTGTAAGAACCACTAGATTTGTCCCAGCATCTCCTTTTTGGACTGGGCGGGGGGTCGTATGCTCAAAATAATCTGAGTGCTGGAGCTTGGAAATTCTCTCCCTGGTATTGACACCCTCACCATGAAATTGGCAACAGCTGCTGGAGTATATAGTGTAAATTTTTAATGATCATTTTTTTTTTTTTAAAAACTTTTTAACCCTGAAGGTTAAAAAGTACTTGAACAGAAAAAAAAAAATGGAACTTCAGATACAATTTTCATCCTCATGTCAAAAAGAAAAAAAAAAGGCTTTGAGTGAGTAAAGCCTGAGGGTTTTGGCAAAGGTCATCCGGCTTTGAATATTGTGGACTGGAGCTACAGAATCACAAAGAAAGAACTATACCAAATAACAGAAAACACATCATTTGAGGACTACCAACAGCAGCAACAACTAAAATGGATAGTACATGTAGCTCATAATGACATAATCATAATGTTGGCATTCCACAATACTTCAAATAAAAGGTTTGGAAGTAAACTCCTGTCAATACTAGAAGGAGCAATAACAGCTACTGGACTTGAGAAACCTGTTTTCCTGAGAAATTCTTTTAAAAAAAAAAAAGATTTTATAAATTTCAATCGAAAGCAGGTTTGGCTGCCCAGTCAATTAATGCCAAATGTTTCCTTATAGGGAAATGGCTGATATTACCATTATCATTGTAATAAACTAGTTATTGTGGTGTGTATTGAATTCAAAAAATGTACATTTGGCATAATGGTTTTCTGTATCAAGAAAGGGTGCAGTGTGGCAAGTTCAAATTCTAACTGCTATGTTCTCTCTTTAAACAATTGTACTTAAAAAAAAGGCATGAATCTATTTTTTCCTGCCTCTCCACCCATCTATGATTTGTTTTCCGCCTTTAGCACAATGGATGAAAAATAATAGAAACCATTTATTATTCAAAGTGGTTGGGTTTTAAGATTTTTAATTGAGATTTTGGATTTGTCAACTTCTACAAATTTTGGCACCATGACGGTTAATGCTGCATTTATCACCTGGTTCGCAATATCAGAAGAGTGTTTGAATCCAAGAGCTAACTAACTGAGGGTCTTGGCAAAGATCAGCATCCTTTGAACCTTGTCAACTGTCACTACAGAATCACAAAGAACTGCATCAAATAACAGAGAGCACATCACTTGAGGACTACCAACAGCAGCAACAACTAAAATGGATAGCACATGTAACATGAAGAGAAAATAATAGCATAATAAAAATGTTGGCATTCCACAGCACTTCAAAGAAAAGGTTAGGAAGGAAGCCAACATCAGTACAGGGAAGAGCAATAACAGCTACTGGAGTTGAGTAACCTATTTTCCTGAATAATTGTTTTAAGAGAAAGATTTT